CAGCCGTCATTGTTGTTTGGCGGGTCCGGGCTGGGGATTCGAACCCGCCACCTTAGGTGTACGTGGCTGGTGCCTTAGCCGGTTGAGCTATAGGTGCCGAGCCGACGTAAAGATTATTATAAGCATTCTGTGACATCAGATGTTGAAGGCCTCAGAGTAAACACTTAGTAAATCTGAAAGTTCACTCTTTGAGCATGATGAGCTGTGATAACAGAAAGACTTCAAAATGCAGTGGCCTAAACAGAGTAGGAGTTCACTTCTCTCTTGTGTGCTGAGTGCTGTGGTGAGGCAATTTGTCCATGTAGGGAGACTCTGCTCCATGTCACTCAGGGACCCAGATTCCTGCTTTTTCTGTTCTTGTTGGTTCCCTAGGGCATGGTCATTGTATGGTGAAGGCTGCATCCTGAAACACTGAGGTCTAGTTCACAAGAAGGGGAAAAAAGGGTCCTTTTTAGTACATCTCACATTCTTTTGATGAGAACTTCAACACCTGGCCAAACCTAACTGCAGAGGAGACTGGGAAATGAAAGTGTCCAGTTGGTTGGCTTTGTGCTCGTTGGAAAGAGGGGAGAAGGGATTGCAGAGTGGTGCCTAGGGCACTGGCCACATACACTGAGGCTGGTGGGTTTGAACCCAGCCTGGGCCAGCTAAAACGATAATGACAACTGCAACAACAACAACAAAATAGCCGGGCGTTGTGGCAGGTGCCTTTAGTCCCAGCTCATTAGGAAGCTGAAGCAAGAGAATTGCTTAAGCCCAAGAATTTGAAGTTGTTGTGAGCTGTGATGACACGGCATTCTACCCAGGGCAACAGCTTGAGACTCTATCTCAAAAAAAAAAAAAAAAAGGGATTGTGGTGGGTCCCTTATACATCTGCCTGGTTATTACCACCATTATTACTGTGGCCACCATGGTGTGTCCCCAACACTCTGACACTGAGTTCAGTGATTTGCTAGAAAGACTCACAAGGCTCAGGAGGCATTTGTCTCATGACTTAGGGTTATCACAGTGAAAGGACAAAGCAGAGTTGGTGAGGGGAAGAGGTGCATAGGCTGGCATCTGGAAGAAGTAGGTGGGAGCTTCTGAGAGTCCTTCCTGTGAAGTCATAAGGGATGCATTTCATTCTTCTAGCATTGAATTGTGACAATGTGTGTCTTCCAGGACACTCGTGAGGAATTTTTATTATTTTGTTAGATTTTTGGCCGGGCCTGGGTTTGAACTCACCACCTCTGGCATATGGGGCTGGCGCCCTACTGCTTGAGCCATAGGCACTGCCCTGGAATTTTTATTTTTGAGACACAGTCTTACTCTATTACCCTGGGTAGAGTGCATTGCACTCTCACAGCTCACAGCAACCTCAAACTCGTAGTCTCAAGTGATCCTCCTGCCTCAGCCTCTTGAGTAGGTGGGACTATAGACGCCCACCTTGGTACCAGGCTAGTTTTTTTTTTTCTTTCTATTTTTAGTAGAGACGCGCTCAGGCTTGTCTTAAACTCCTGAGCTCAGCAGTCTATCTGCCTAGGTCCCCCAGAGTGCTAGGATTACAGGTGTGAACCACTGTGCTTGGCCACATGAGGAAGTTTTTCTTTTGAGACAGAGGCTCACTATGTAACCCTCAGTAGAGTGCTGTGGTGTCATAGCTCACAGCAACCTCAAACTCGTGGGCTTAAGCGATTATCTTGCTTCAGCCTCCTAGGGAACTGGGACTATAGGTGCCCGCCACAACTCTTGGCTATTTTTTTTTTTTTTTTTTTTGGTTGTGGCTGTCATTGTTGTTTGGCAGGCCTGGGCTTAGTTCGAACCCACCAGCTCCGGTGTATGTGGCTGGTGCCCTAGCCACTGAGCTACAGGCATGGAGCCCACATGAGGAATTTTTAACTGGAGACACTTATGTCGGCCCCTCTGCCCAGTACACACCAATATTCCAGGTCCCAGGGAGGAAGGCCATATGTAGTGTGTACTGCATTGTCTGCTCACCCTGGGCACAGGGAGCAGCCCTCTGGGTTCACTGATGCTTGGGAGCATGATGAGAGCACATTCTGGGTGCCAGCCAAGGACCCATCTTGCTGGCAGGCCTGTCCAAGGAGCGCCATTTCAGGCCTGCTGTCCTAACTCTTTTCTGCACAGGTGGGTAGGCCTTCCTGTTGCCATATGTGTCCCCATTTTTGTCCCCTTAACCCCAGGAGTGGGAGGAGCGGCGCAGGCAGAACATTGAGAAGATGAACGAGGAGATGGAGAAGATTGCAGAGTATGAGCGCAACCAGCGGGTCAGTAGCACGGGCATCCCTGGAGTGGCGGAGCGGCAGAGTCGTCTGAGCCAGCCACTAGGGAACCTACCAACTCCTGCTCCTGTCCCCATAGGAAGGCGTTCTTGAGCCAAACCCTGTGCGGAACTTCCTGGACGACCCCCGGAGACGTGGTGGGCCTCTGGAGGAGCCTGAGCGGGACCGCCGGGAGGGCAGCCGCCGGCATGGGCGCAACTGGGGTGGCCCTGACTTTGAGCGGGTGCGCTGTGGCCTCGAGCATGAGCGGCAGGTGGGTGCTGGCAGTGGGGTTACCTGGGACTCTCAGTGTTCTGACAGGGCCTGAGTGCACAGCAGGAATGAGATAGACCAGGGCCACAGTGTGTGTCTCTGGCATTGTGTGTTGGTAACACAAGGTTTTAATTTTAAGGATTTGGGGCATGCTTTGATCTCTGTGTGGGCAAGTCTCCCCTCATTCTTGAAAATCGGAGCATTTGGCTCCGCGCCTGTGGCTCAAGCGGCTAGGGCGCCAACCACCTACATCTAAGGTGGCGGGTTCAAATCCAGCCCGGGCCCGCCAAACAATAATGAAGGCTGCAACCAAAAAAAAAAAAAAAAAAAAATGGCCGGGCCTTGTGGCAGGTGCCTGTGGTCCCAGCTACTTGGGAGGCGAAGGCAGGAGACTCACTTGAGCCCAGGAGTTGGAGGTTGCTATGAGCTGTGATGCCACAGCACTCTACCCAAGGGGACAGCTTGAGGCTCTGTCTCAAAAAAAAAAAGAAAATTGGAGCGTTTATGAGGCACCTTGCATGTGGCAGGTGCTCTGTGAGCAGTGGAGACAGATGACGTCACTGCACTCAGTGGTTCACTCAAATTTTCTGTGGGTTCTTTTGCTGGTGTCACACTGTTTTAGTCACTATAGCTTTATGGTTTGGGGGTTTTCTGTTGTTACTATCATTAGTATATCATTAGTATTGTTTACTGGGTACCTACTATGTGCCAGGCACTTGTTTCGGGTGCTGGGGATTAGAGTTATGAGGCAAAGCCCTTGCCCTGGTGAAGTTTATTCTGGTAGGAGCTAAATAAACTGAACATAGATGTCGTGAAGAAAAGCACAGCAGGGTGAGGGATTGGTCGGGGACAGCCTCTCTGAGGAGGTGCTGCTTGAGCTGACCTGGTTCTTGTCTCTGCTTTGTGACCTTGAGCAAGCAAATCCACCTCTGTATTTGGGGGTGGGGGCGGGGGTTGGGTTTGGGTTTGTAACAGGGCCCTGACTGCCTCTTGGTGGGGTGGGAGCAGGGTCGCAGGGCTGGCCTGGGTAGTGCTGGAGACATGACGCTGTCCATGACTGGCCGGGAGCGGTCAGAGTACCTGCGCTGGAAGCAGGAAAGGGACAAGATCGACCAGGAGCGGCTACAGAGACACCGCAAACCTACTGGCCAGTGGCGGCGAGAGTGGGACGCTGAGAAGACAGATGGCATGTGAGTTTCCTCCCACTCGCCTGCATTTGGCTCCTCCTGGATCTTGGCCCTCAGCCCTAACTCCTTTACCTCTTTCTGGTTTCTCCCCCTGTGTACACAGAGGTGCTATGTAACAGACACCAAATCTCAGCGGCATGTGAGAGCTGCTCCCACATGTTCGGGGTGAGCTAGGCTTGGCTGATCCAGGGTCTCACTGTTAAGCTGTGGGTCCCACAAGGCTTGGTTCCTCCAGGCAGGCTGGACTTAGTTCAGCCTTCATTCTGGGGTGCAGGCTGAGGTGGCAGCTGCCTGGGGGAGACACTTGTTATGGCACTGCACAGATGCACAGGCTGGAAGGGATATACTTCCCCATCCAGTTAGCTAATAGACCCAGCCTTGCTGGGCAGGGAAATAACTGCCCACTCCAGTGGAGGGTACAGTGGTGGCTGCATGGTCAGCAGTGATTAGCCCTTTATCCTCCCTCTGTTCTATGATTTGACCTGCCCCCCCCCAGCCCAGATTTCTGAGTATCTCTACATACCTCACCATCTTATCCCAGTGATACTGTCCTTCCTCAAGTCTGACTCTGTCTGTCCCTTTTTGGGTCCCAGGAAACATTCAGTCATTTTGTCATTGTCATGAGGACCAACTTCCATAGCCAAGAAGAAGGTTCTGGAAGAGCTAATGAATAGCAGCTTTTAAAAATCAGCAACTTGTTTAGGCATGGTGGCTTCGTGCCTGTAATCCTAGCACTTTGGGAGGCTGAGGCAGGAGGATCCCTTTAGCTCAGGACTTGGATACCAGCCTGAGCAAAGCAAGACCCTGTCTCTACTAAAAATAGAAACATTAGCCAGGTGTTGTGGCTGGTGTCTGTAGTCTGAGCTACTTGGGGACTGTGGGAGGGGGATTGAGTGAGCCCCAGAGTTTGAGGTTGCTGGGGTTGCTGAGGTTGAGGTGTGATGCCACAGCACTCTATCTGGGACAACAACGTGAGATTCTGTCTCAAAAAAAAAGCTGGCAATTTTGAGTTTAACCCCATCTTGCATTCTTACAAAGTTTTCTTTTTTTTTTTTTTTTT